GCGTTCATTTCTATGGATGATCATTCGCACCCCTGGAGCTCTGCCCCCTCCCCAGTAAACAGGGGAAAGTAGTTTGCATGGCGTTTGCTCGTGCGTGTTCCAGCAATTTACTTGGCTGGAGGGGAGACGCTACGATCGCTGTATGAAGAAGGGTGGGGTGGGGGCTGTGCCGGATTTAAAAGGTAAAGGTTCCCTTGCTCGAAAGCCAGTCGAGTCCGACTCTAGGGTTGCGGTGCTCATCTCCGTTTCCAAGCCGAAGAGCCAGCGCTGTCCGAAGACGTTTCCGTGGTCATGTGGCCGGCGTGACTAAACACCAAGGCGCACGGAATGCTGTTACCTTCCCACTGTAGTGGTACCTATTTATCTACTTGCAATGTCTTGCTTTCGAACTGCTAGGTTGGCAGGAGCTGGAACTAGAGACAGGAGCTCACCCCGTCTTGCGGCACCCGGGTCTTGAACTGCTGAACTACCGACCTTCCACAGCCTGCAGTTCAGCGTCTTAACCACTTGAGCCACCGCATAAGCTAAATAAACTACAGTTTAGGGCCTCGCAATCTGCTGGGGCCTCGAATAAAAACACAATATACAAAATGATTTCAAATATTTAAAAGGCGTATATATTTAAAAAATTTCTGAGACCAGCTGATGTAATTTAAAACAGTAGGGGGGCTCTGGGTTTTGTATAGCTTAGGGCCTCAGCAAGTCTAAATCCGGCCCTGGGTGGGGGGACTTCTTGCAGCCTCAGAAATCAAAAGGAAATGCACTGGGGAGATAGGAAAGAACTTCGCACAGGAAGCGAAGGCGTCCTTGCGCTTTACTTTGGATGCCAAATGGATAAAAGAGGATAATGACTGCTCGGTTTTGACGACCTGGTTTTTCAAGTCCTTTTTAATCACCCCGCGCTGACTTGGAAATAATCCCCACCGATTTCAGTGAGGTGTACGTAAATGTAAGCTGGCGTGTTTGGGAGGTGGTTATGCCACAAACATCCCGCTTGCCTAATGGCTGTTAATAAGGGTGCAAGCCTAAAGCGACGATCCTTGAACAAGAAATGAAATGGGAATGGGTTAAGAAAGACCTATATTGAATGGTGCTATCAATGTTTTATTGGAATCAATGGCAATATTCTGTTTAGTTTCTGGGTTGCACCCAAAAGGTAAACTAGGCCCCGGTCAGATATGGCAGGGGAGGCTAATTGCCCCGGCGCAGTTTGATGCACAATTACGCGATCAGATGCGCCAGTGGCACGCCACGGGTCCTTCCCTCAGCGCCGGAGGGTAACCGGAGGGGAATGCTGCGTATCACACCACGGCTGTCTGGAGGCAGCCCGTGGCAAACGTTTACTAGTACCTTGGAGGTACTTGTTTTTTAAGGTGCATTGTCGGGAGTAAGCCACCAGTGCGCTCCACTTCCCAGATGTTGGGGTGTGATCGAGCCCGGATAATCCGCCCACCATCCGTGCCTCTCCCGCGGCAACTTTGCCATGTGACCGGGGCCTTTGTTGGGTTGTTGAGCACATTTCGCCCCCTACCAAGGTGAAGCTTTTCCCATCATTGCATCAGCATGTATAGGAAATATTCACTCACTGGATTTCTGTTTACCATGCAGCTGTTAGAGGTATGTGAGCCTAGCAAAAAAGGGGGGTGGGGAGAAATGAACAACTCTAAAATAGAGCTTAAATATAACAAGTATTCAAAATAAGCCAGCGACAGACCTTTGTGGAATAGTTTCAGTCTTACTATATATGGGTGCGGTCAGACGGTGTGCTGAGAGCGGGTTAAACTGATTATATTTGATGTGGATAATTGCGATCACACTTAACCTCCCTTATCCCCCTTGACTGCGCAGTCACAGCTCTCCCCAGTGTCTACACTACTGACAAGCGGGAGCATGCGTCAGCAGGTTTTAAAAAAAATTTCCTCAGTTTGTGCATGCGCATAGGCGCCCCTCCGTAGAAGGGGGGAACTATCATGGCGCATGCGCAGAACCACCAGGGCGAATCAATCCAACCCCTCCAACAAAAGACTTCTGTTTAAATGTTTGACCCGAAAATGGCCTCTGTGAGATCCCGAACTCATCTAAACACTAAAACAAGTAACAGTTTAAATGTCGGTTTTCTAAACGTGGTGGTGGAGCTCCGCCTATGTACATTCCACCAATGCATTAAAAAATGGTGTGTGAAAAGCGGAAGCCTCGGGCAGCTTTCAAGCAGGGAGGGGGTTTAAACCGGAAGTGGCTCGACACCACAGGAGCGATCAGATGTCAGAAAAGTGCGTCTGGAACCAGAGAATTAGGAAAACACCACTTGGGGACCTGGTAGCAAAATACTCCGGTTTAAAGGGGTTTTGATCCGGAAACCGACGGCTGGGGACGGTATGCAGATGTTAGGTGTGTGAACGTAGATATAAAATCCGTTGCTGAACCGTCTCGATACCTGATTAATCGGTGCGTCTGACCGCACCCTGTGTGTTTGTATTTATTAACTACATTTGAGAATTGCCTTTTGTGTGCTGTAAGGCTCAAAATAATTGTATCGCTCATGCACCTGATGAAGTGAACTCTGTATTGATCGAAACAAACTGAAGCCTCTAATAGGAGTATTGTTAATATTCATATAGCACTAGGCCCATCTCACCAGATTTCAGAAGCTAAGCAGGGTTGGCCTTGGCTAGTATTTAGATGGGAGACCGCCAAAGAATACCAGGGTTGTGACATGGAAGCAGGCAATGACAAACCACCTCTGCACATCTCTTGCCTCAAAAACCCTATGGGGTTGCCATAAACCAGCTGTCGCTTGACGGTACTTTCCACAACCACATAGCACTATATGGTGGAGACAAGCTTTCCTGGAGATGAGTCCTCCCTGGGGCTAGATATTGTCACATGTGCAATAATTGTATCACAGAAGCTTAAGGCTTTTGGTTGAGGTGGCGGGCGTCCCCTCCTTTGGGCCGGCTTCATCAGCAGCCTGGATCCTTAAAATCCTTAAAATTTTAATTCCATCTTAACCACTAAGATACCTAGTTTCCACTAGGGTTGACATGGTTTCTACTAGAGTTGACATGGTACCTAGGAGTTGTGTTATTTTATACTGTTGTTCTTAATCTGGTTTTAATTGTATTGCATTTTATATTCTTGGAACCCGCCCTGAGCCTGCTTGTGGGGAGGGCAGGATATAAATCCAAATAAATAAATAAATAAAGTCTCAAGACATGCACTATCTGCCATGTTCTGGTTAAACTGAATTGGAGGTTATGGTAGAACGGTGCTTGTCTCTAGATGAATGCATTTGTAACTTCAGTAGTATTGGGACCACTTCCGATGCAATTCTATAGGAACACACAAAGGAACCATCTTACATTTTCCTTTCCCCGGCAAATATTCTCCTTCTTAAGTGACATTTATATAGGAAGCCACTAGTCCCACCACATGGATTCTCCATAACATACCTTCCGAGCAACATTGTTTGTTTGTTTTTTTTCACTAGCACACTTGGGTTTTTAATGCACGTCTTGGAACATCATGCTGTCTCTCCCTCCTTGTGAAGTTTCGGCCACTGGTGGCTCCTGGGGGCTCTTTGTCCTTCATTAGGGCCTTGCTGACATGCTTGAACTCCCCCTCCCACGGGAAGTATCCCTTCACCAGTATCTTGCACTCATCACTATCCGGGTCTAGCTTCCACCAAGTATAGGATTTGTAGTCCACCTGCCAGGCAGGGCTCAGTGGAAAGGCAAGCTCTTGCCCACAGAAGACTCAGATGGCCTGAAAGGCTCCTATCGTTGGTGCCAAAAAGGATGACAGAAGTAAAGGCATTGTTGCACAACTTGTCCAGGCACTGTAACATGCCTGTGATTAAATTGCAGCTCGTGAACATTTGTGCCAGCTCCTTGGGGAAGTGATGGAGTACCAGATGGACCAGCCCTCCTTGTCAAAATGCTCCCAGAAGTGAGGCAGAGACACTGTGAGGGCGTCTTCATTGGAGTACTTGTGCTTAAACTCATCCATGACAAAAGGGGCTCTTGGAGACGTGAGCAAAGGGGTCTTTGAATTTGGGCTCAGTTGCCAAGGCTTGCTCATACTCGTCCATCTCTTCCTTGGGCCAGGGTGTTGGCTTCTTCTCTGGTTTCCTCTCTTTTGGCTGGTGCTCCATCTTGGGCGTTTCCGTCTTGGACTGATTTTTGGGAAACTTTTCAGCATCAAACTGCGCCGCCATCTTGCACAGCTTCACCTCTCCCAGAATGGCCTTGAACTGTGGTTGGTTTACGCAGGTCACAAAGCAGCGCTTGACGTTTCAGTAAGGCTGGCAGAAAGAGAGCTCCAAAACCTATTTGTAAGGACAGAGGAGAGTGCAGACAACCATCTGCCAATGTGACCCACTCATCTACCAGGAGTGTCCTGGTTTTCAGATGACAATCAAAGATGCTCAGAATCCTCTTCACTTCTTCCTGTGCATATTCTGTGGCCTGCTTGTTATAATACATGATGCCCAATGTTGAGAAGGCCCAAGTACTGGCAGGGGGGACAATGTCACTGTAGGCAAAGCTCACTCAGTTGGTGATTCCTTGCAGCTCATCATTGCTGACCTAATGTGCAATGACATTGCTCTCAAACATGCAGAAGCTGTCATCCCCTTCAAAGAGTGGATCCCTCCCAACAGGGAATTGCTTCAGGAATTTGGGGGTCTTGTTGGCTTTTCCCAAAATGGAACTGAGGTGGGGCAGAGAGGACTTTGATCTTGGCGCCACTGTACTGAGCAGCGATGAGGGCTTCGAATGCCTGCCAATCCTCAGGGTAGGTGTAGAGAGTCCTGGCTGTGCATGCGCATAAACACGGAACGCTTGCTGCACGGATTCTTTGCCAGCT